CATGTTTTAAAAAAAAAAAAATGTCAGTTAGTTTGGGGGGTTTTTTTTTTTTTTTTTTTTTTTTTATTACTCTTCCTCTCCTCTTTTTACTTTTATGGTTATGCTTTTGGCACGCCTTCATACACTAAACAAGGCACTGAAGTTTCTCAAACAGCAGTCCTGCCCTGAAGCCTTAGAGCCAGCTGGACAGGATGGGACTTCTGCAAATGCATTGGCAGTAGCTGTCTTAATGTATATTAAAATAAAATGGTAATATTTGTAACATTTCTGCTGCCCAGTAAAGAAAGGTTTTCGTTAAATCCTTTTTAACCATTTAGATCAGGCTAGCAAGCTGCTTGTCTCCAGCAGCTCTCTTTTAGCATTCCAAATAATTCATGTTTTTTGCAACAGGCTTGGCAGCATTCACACAGAAAAGTTCTTAGCTCATAAGGTCATGAAAATGTCCTTCAACAATAAAAAACAAATGATTCTTTCTGTCCAATTCATGGTTTCTTCTATTGAGGCATACAGCAGAAAGGACCATTGCTGCACGCTCCACATAAAGTTACAGCTGATCAAAAATTTAAGCGCTTTATTGGTTTATTATTTTCATTTCTTACTCTTTCTCCTCCTGTAAATCTTGTTGATTTGGGGGTTTTTGTTGGTTTTTTTTTAATTTCTAACTACAGTATAATTAGTATCCAGCTGTTTTGAGAGGTCTTTTCACATGACAAAATAATACTTGTAACTGTTTTTATTCCTTTTTGTGTAGAGTCCTTGGCCATAGGTATTCAGACGACAAAGTTTGGAAAACCATTTGCTTGCCATTGGTTTCCTAGCCCTAACGGTTGCAAAGCACGGCTGTGATAGTTGCTTTAGGAGTGTTTCAGAACCAGGTTGTAAAGGAACTGTTCCTGTGTCCAGATGGACGGGAGAGTCCAGAGTGAGTGAAGAAAGGTGGGACACGGCCCCCACCAGCCATCGGTGAGATTTGGGGTGTTAGGGCTGCAGAAGCTCGCGACTCTTTTGCTGCCAGATGGGCTGCAATGTGTGGGGACAGCCTGGGGTCACCACGCAGATCCAGGCTCAGCATCCTCCATCGTACCAGCTGCTGGGCGCTTTGGTGCCAGGATCCAGCCCATAGCATTCCCATCCTGACCCTACATCTAGTGATGTTAACCGTGTTATGCAGTCTAATATAATGGCAGTGCAGGCTCGTGCTTTGGGTGTAGCGTGTTTGGTGCAGGTGATGCACAGGAATCCCATGTGTGATACAGTTGTCAGCAGGTCCTTGGTGTCCCATGTACCTCAGTAATGCACAAACCCTCATGCCCCTTTTTGACAACGGAGCCAAATGGCAAAGAAAAGAGAACCTGCATCACTGGAGTGGAGAGCTTTGGCAGAATTTAGGTGTAGAGGCTGGTGGGTGTCCTTGTGTGCTGCACAGCTTCTTTTCTCTGCCCCTGCAGGTTTGGAAAACGTGACTATCCAGCTGAACCTGGAGGCCGAGTTTCATTTCACTCATCTCATTATGACCTTCAAGGTAAGGAAGCCACAGCGTTTCCCTGAACCTCAAAACACAAAGAAATAAGAGATCTCATAGTCCTTCACATCCATTTGATATTTGGGATTTGGGCTTTGTCTGAGCTGTTTTGCCTGATTTTTTAGAGCTGCCAACCGTTACGATCTTCTGCTGGAGTCATGCAGGAAGGTTGAGTTGTGACTTGTGGCTTGAGTTATGTTTGAACTCCAATGAGGCTGCAGAAGGAGTCACACTGAAGCTGGGGTTTGTGTTGGTGCCTCTCTCTGGTGGTCGTGTTCTAGAAGATCATTAGCTAAATCATATAGAGCAAGGATTTTTCTTCTTAGGAAAAAATTGGCCGTGGTATCAGTTTTCATTTGGCAAATGGAAAGGTCTTCAGGAAGAAGGAACATCTGTACACAAAGTGTCTTTGTTTCTTTACAAACAGATGTCTTGGAATGGCAGATTATGTCCCGTACATCCTAAATCGCAGGCAAGCGCTAGTGATGTTTCAGGGGCTGCAGTTCTTGCAGGGCTAAATTCCTGCTCTTTGCACGGAGACAAATTAATCTCCTAATTTTCATCTGTCAGCTTTCCAGGAGAGCTGGTTGGCATTGGCCTGGGTTTCTCACCCTGCCCCACAGTGGGGGCTGAGGTAGGAGGTGGTCCTTTCTGCTGGCCCCCAGCAGTAAGGGGCCCCCATGAGATCCCTGACCCGATGAGGGTGCTGCGGCCATCGTGCCCCGGTGCTGCTGGGCTTGGTCTGCCATCAGGGGGAAGGCTGCAGGGGAAAGATAGTTTTAATGATGATTTGTTGACTTTGTGTGGTAGACACTTGAGCTGCCTTACCTCTGGGTTGCTACATTTTTTGTTGGGTGAGATACCAGTTTGTAAGTTGGGTGATATTTTCAGCCAGGAAGCAGAAAGGAAATTTCTTTCCAGCTGTGACTGAATGCTTTTGTGCTTGGCTCTTGGAGGGCCTCCTCTGAGCACGTAAAACTAATGAAGAGACTGTTGGTGTTTCTTGGTAGGTGCAAGCCCCGTGTTAAATTAACGTCTGCTTTTCAAAATGCAGCTCATAAATTGAAACAGGAGATTTTTAGGTCAGAGGGATTAAAAATCTTTTAAAAACCTCATTAGCCAGTTGTTCTGGAGTTGAATACGTGTAGTTAAGAAGGATGGTGGTTTGTGTAAAGCAAATGCAGCCTGCCGGAGCCTGGGCAAGGACAGCTGGGGTAGGGTCACTGGGACTGCGGGAGTTGAATGCAGCAAGAATGGATGAAGCCAAACCTCTCAATCTCCTTAAAGAAGAAGGTTTTCTGCATGCAGCACAGAGGACAGCTGGCCCTGGGCGGCAGAGATGCTGCGAAAGGTAGTGTGGTCAGACGAAGAGAGGTGGGCAATCCCAGGGCATTGGAGATAACTGCTCAGCAAGAACTTCTGGGCGCCGGAGCTGGAGGGGAAGCACTGGAAGTGGCCTCCAGGTCCCCAAGGTAGGAGAGGAGGCCCATTAGGTCCTTCACAGAAGATTAGGCAAGGAGGTACAGCAAGGAAGAAGGCTGTGCTGCTTTCAACAAGCAGTGGAAAAAACCCTTTTGTCTCCCTAAAGCCCTGCTTTAACCCCCAGTTTTAAGAAAGGATTTGGAATCCAAAAAACTTAACAAGTTTGCTTAGTTATTGTTAGCATGTTTAAGCGCTTGGCCACTGAGTGCCATCTTTTTAAAAATGGGTAGTCTGTGGTTTGATGTGTTATTTCAAAGATCTGTCTCGGAGCAGAGAATGGAATATGAGCAGAAAAATATTTCCAGTATTTCCAAATACTGGAAATAGTCAGTGCAGGGGAGAGAGATAAAATCTAGACATGTGGATTGCTCACACTTAGAAGTGCTTAATGTAAATGCAAGTAATAATTAACCAAATAAAATCTCTTTTGGTTTTCTTACTATTAGACATTCCGTCCTGCTGCAATGTTGATAGAAAGATCATCTGATTTTGGAAAAACATGGCAAGTGTATAGGTATTTTGCATATGACTGTGAGAGCTCATTTCCTGGGATTTCAACTGGACCCATGAAGAAAGTGGATGATATCATTTGTGATTCCCGATACTCCGACATTGAACCTTCAACGGAGGGAGAGGTCAGAGGGTTTTTTTGCCAATATGTTTATTGTATAGACTTTTTCCATACAAATTCAGATTCTCTTATTTTTAAAGACGAACCTTTCGTTGTACCATTTTTCCTCCAGGTAATATATCGTGTTTTAGATCCTGCTTTTCGAATTGAAGATCCATACAGTCCAAGGATTCAAAGTATGTATGCGGTTACCTTCCAGGCCCATTTGAAAGCATTTCTGTACTTACTTGCTTACAAAAAACAGTAAGCCACAAATAAAGCCATGCATTAGCCTCGGTAACTGTTTTGAAGTCTTACAAACACATTTGTGATACGGCTTCTTTTCCCGAGTCAGACAGTGGTGTGCTGGGAAATAACGATCGGTGTTGCCAACTGAATTGACTGTTCTTACACACGTCAGTGTAGTTGGTCCTTTTCTTAATTGATCAGGGATTTATTTTCATTAAAGACCCCCTCTCCCCAAAATACATGCAGTCACCGAGAGAAACCTTGGAATGTGATCTCGTAATTGTACGATATTCAGAAAGCAAACAAACAGAACTACAAAGGTACTTACATCATTTTGCATTTCTAGCTAAAATCAAGGGGGTCGTGTTCTATTTTTTAGAACATCTGAGTCATGACTTTACAATGGTTGGCCCTGGTAGCACTGCATGGCTGGACCACACAGATGCAGTCGTAAAAACCAAATGACTGTAGCATTCGTGTACAGTCATGACAGTCCAGGAATGCAAAGGTAGAGAGATCCGTGGCTTAAAGTGAAACCTCGTGGGGCATTTGGCCTGATTAGGGAACTGCAGCGCTTGGCCTTAAACTTGACCTCCCATTTAATATGCATTCTCGGTTTCGGTTCGTGTCCTTCGGTGTAAAGCTAACTGGAGCAGAAGGAAGTATCTGAAGTAGAGGGGTGTCTGCTAGTTGCTCTATCAGTTGAATGTTTTTTTTAACCAGTATTTTAGAGGAGAAACTCTGCTTTCATGAGCTTGAAATGCTTTTTCAAGCCTAGTTTCAAGGCTATAAGAAATTACACAGGATTCATAATATCAAAGTGAACATGGAGACTGAGTTAATTATTGCAATGTTGTCTTCCCATGGTTTATCCCTTGAGAACTTCTCCTTTGTATTTGGTCAGTGATGGGGTTTTGCTTCTTGCCGCAAAATGTAACTAATTCCATTTGCTAGGAAAGTTGACCGTATAAGAAAGAAGAATATATTTGTGTCTAGTTTCCGACTATGATTTTTTCCAAAAAGTTCATAACTCTTAAAGCTCCTGGTCCACTTGTCGGTGGTTCCTCAGTGTCGGGTCCCTGCCCTTCTTGCATTCTAAAACCCCAAAGAACCAGTGTCTCCTTGATGGTACTGTTGCACATGCCTTTAATGTTCATGTTTGTGCCTGTGTATGCCTACAATAAAATGGGCTAGTATTTTTAATGGAGCTTAAACTAACTTACGCAGTGATCAGCCTGTAGTAAAATAATGCAACTTCTTTAATTTGGGAGTATGAAGTGATATGATACATAGTACGTAATTGCTGAAATGAAATCTCATCTAATCTGCCCGTAGGAAGTGTGCTTGGGAAGTCACTCCTGGCTTCCTCCCATTCAATACGCTATCTGGTAAATAATTCCAAAAAAGAGGGGTTTTTTTGGTGTCCCCTGCAGACCTATTAAAGATCACAAATCTGAGAGTCAAGTTCATCAAGCTGCACACGCTGGGAGATAATCTCTTGGACTCGAGGATGGAGATCAGGGAGAAGTACTACTACGCCATTTACGACATGGTGGTTCGCGGGAACTGTTTCTGCTATGGACACGCCAGCGAGTGTGCGCCAGTGGATGGCTTTAATGAAGAAGTGGAAGGAATGGTAAATATTCACACTTTTCTGCATAAAGCTCGTCCTGACTTTACCTCTTTTAGGCGATTTAAACACACGTTTAAAGATGACAGTCTGTCACTCCCCACCCTTAATTCTCAAACAAGAAAACCATTAAAACTATTCCTCCTCGGCAAGCATACCGGTCATTATTGGTGTTAATCAAGCACAAGGAGCTCAGATTAGG